ACATCATAGTTGTGTGTGTGTGAGAAATTTTTCTACCATGTAATTTAGATTTGAGGGACACCCCTTGTAGGCCCCACTATGGATTGTATTTTACTAATCCAAACTTCTATTTTGTAGATACTCATTCAAAGATCATCTCTACAAAAAATCACTTGAATTCGATATCATTTGACCATTCAATTGAGTTATTGAAATTTTAGTACTTTCTTGAAGCACCGTGTTCATTGATTTTGTAAGACACAATTGGATGTCGAAACGATTTCCGAGTTGTCTAATTTTTTGTAAGAATGATCTATGAATGAAGACCTAAAAAATATATGGTTTGGATCATTGGAAAAAAAATTATAGGGTACCTTAAAGGGCGTCCCTCAAATAAAATTATATATATATATACATATATATGAATTTTAAACCACACATGAATCAGACAAGAGAGTCAATTTGAGCAATGGTATGTGACACCACCATATGCCTTAAAGATCTTATGTATTCAAGTAGGTAAGAAAACGTTTTCCGATAAATAATTTTAAAATTACATAATTATATATATTAAAGAAATTAGCAGGTTTTTATTTAACGCACGTTAGCAAGTTCGTCCTCCCTATAACATTAAAAGGGAGCACAAGGTGTGAGAATCCTCTGTGCTTAGAGAGCATCAGTCCTCTTCTTTCCTTTTCTCTTTAGCTCCCTCTTATTCTCTCTCACTATAGCTCTCTCGGGCAAATTTATATTCTTGAGAAAGAGAAAGAGATCTAGCTAGAGAGAGAGAGAGAGAGAGAGAGAGAGAGAGAGTGAGAGAGTAAATATGGGAAGGGCTCCTTGTTGTTCTAAGGTTGGTTTGCATAGAGGTCCATGGACTCCTAGAGAAGACACATTGCTCACCAAGTATATTGAAGCTCATGGGGAAGGCCATTGGAGATCCATGCCCAAAAAAGCTGGTAGCTAAAGGATTTTATGAGCTTTTTTTTGTTTGTTATTGTTCAGTTTCCACATTTCTAGATGAATTATATTGTCCTACATAGCTAGCTAGCTACTATTTATTTTTGTAAATTTAGTGGTCAAATTTCTCACAATTTAATTTGTGACTGTCCTTGTCCATGAAGGCCTCCTTAGGTGTGGGAAGAGTTGCAGGCTGAGATGGATGAACTATTTAAGACCAGACATAAAGAGAGGCAACATAACCCCAGATGAAGATGACCTAATTGTCAGACTACATTCACTTCTGGGCAACCGTTGGTCTCTCATCGCCGGTAGGCTTCCGGGTCGAACCGATAACGAGATCAAGAACTACTGGAACACCCATCTTAGCAAAAAACTCAGAAGCCAAGGCACCGACCCCAGCACACACAAGAAATTATCTGATCCTGTGGTCAAAGAAAATAAAAGGAGAAAGAACCAAAAAACCAAGAACAACATGAACAAGAAGGAGATGGTGGTGAAAAACAAGAACAAAACAGGTCAACATGTGGAGCCACTAAAGCCTAAAGTTCACCTCCCAAAACCCACTAGGGTAACTTCCTTTTTATCCCTGCAAAGAAATGACAGTTTTACTAGTAGCACCACCACCACTACTACAACCACTTCAAGCCAAGACTTAAAAGCAGGAGGAGGAGGAGCTTTTGGGTTCAACGAAAACGATCAAGTTTTAGTTAATACTCGGGCCAATGGGGTTGTGTTTTGTGTTGGTGATGATCAAGATCAAGTACCCAATTCAGCTGATGATCATGATCATACGCTTGAAAATCTTTATGAAGAATATCTGCAGGCGCTGCTGAAGACAGATCATCACCATGATCATCAGAACCAACTTGAATTAGACTCATTTGCTGAGTCACTGCTGATCTAAAAAATTAAGATAAAATAATAATAATTAAAGTAGTGTATGAAAGATTAGTGGGTTGTCGCGCGAAAGCGTTTAAGATTGGTTTGTTTGAACTTTAGGTTTTCACGTGCTTACCTTCTAGTTTCTAGCCAACCGTGTAGTCATATTGGACCTTTAATTATGTAATTTTTTTTTAAATATTTGTGAATCTGTGTGATGGTTACGTGTTAATGTAAATTAGTAGAATTTACGATGATGATGATGTCAATTTAGCTAGTAATAACAAGCAAATCGAAGTCTTTTTACCTTTTGGTTACATCACTCTACTACTTTATATAGGCAAGCATGAGTTTTTTTTTTTCTTCTCACTCTACTTCTCATATTTGTTTTCAAATTTGTGTGACAATGCCGCGTGCTCTAGTATGTACTACACTGCACTTCCTTGTCCATCCTACTGTAAATAAAGAATCTCATCATACATCTGACATAAGTAAAAGTTCATTTGAAAGTGAGGATCAATTTAGGGTCGCAAGACATAAATGTTTTGCATTCTTAGTTATAAATAAAGAATCATTTATTCTTTACCATTCGAAATGAATGTGTAAATCATAAATCTGTATGAATGTATTTGTTTGTCAAAAGAAGAATGACTGTTGGCAAGCTCCAACAGGTTGTTTTTCTAGCTACTCCCCGTCAGTGCAATAAGGCAGCGCATGAGGTTGCAGCCTTTGTGTCTAGAGTAGGCGGTAACCACGTTTGGGACCAAGTGTGGCCTGAGTGGATCTTTGATATTTTAGCTAGTGATGTAAACCTTGCTATTCGTCTTTAATAAAACTCTCTTCGTTTGGGAAAAAAGAAAAAAGAAAAAGAAAAAGAGGATGACTGCTGAATTATAGGGGGGAAAAAAAAAAAAAAACCAAGTGGAGTCCTAATGTACTTATCACAGCTAGCTCTGACAGTTGATCAATAAATCCCTATTCCAGTAATTCTGGAACCTCACCTCAGACTCATACGCCTGGCATCTGGTTGACAGCTGAATTATTTTGCAGTGAAAAACATACAATTGATTTCTTTGCAGTGTGTTCTAGCCTGTAGCTAGTATCTTCACTTCACCAGTGTCGAAAGCATAAATTTATTGAATTGCTACTTCATCTAAGGAAAACAGTCAAGCCCGGAAAGTGTAAATTAATGCTTCTTTATTTGTTTTTTCTTTCCTTTTTTGTCATGTTTTTCTTTTCTCGTGATGAATCGCATCAATTTCTACCATGGATGAATCGCATTTGAAGATTACTGCATTGATTAAACAACCAAAAGGCATTGATGTGCCTCACCTGCCTTTTGCTACCTCTCGCCCCATTGAATTTTTTTTGAATAAGTAGTAGGACCAATTTCTGTCATGTCATCGCAAGATCATATACATATGTGTAAACATTGGTTGCCTCCTTTATGATGCCCTCCGCATGCAGACGGACTATGCATCCCATCAAAACATAGAGACAAAAATCAACCGAACAACTTGGAAAGGAGGAAGGAATCTAATAGTAATGAATTAAATTTTGCCTAATGGTGTTAGGTTTTGTTGTTATAACTTACTACGAAATATTTAATCCCTTTTTCTGGAATCTAATTAGTTATCAATTATGTGGCACGTAAATTATAAGGATTAAATTAAAATATGTACGTGTGAGAATTAATAGAATATAGATACATGGACCACTAGGATTGAAAATCCCAGGCCGTGGGTTGTCTCAACAAAAAAAACGTTTCGATTTTGTATAATTTGTTTGTTGTGCTAGTTTGTCCCTTGTTGGACAATAAACTTTTGGGAATAGTGCATGGTAGATGGGCTCGTGATCAACTTCTGTTCTCAGATAGGTAGATGGAAATAGAATTTCTCCGTGGAATATTTTAGTTTGACAAGGTTTACGGCAAAATCAAATGAACGGTCGTCAATTACCATGGCCATGATAGAGGGTCCCACCTTGGCTAATTACTTTAATCTCCTCGCATTATTTTCCATTATTTTGCTATCTAAAAGAGACTTTTTGCCTTATGTTTTGGAACTGCAACGCACTTGGGTCCTGGTACGCACACAAAAAAGAAGAAGAAAAAAACACATTTGGATGTCGACACAATATGAACATCAATCACAAACTGTCACTATAAAATTAATGTCAAGTGACTTGCCGCTGCCTTGCAAGTTGCAAACCCACGTATCTTTCTTTTTTTATGAAAAAAGGTGAAGAGAAAATATCAATGGAAAGAGAAAGACAAGAAAAACAAGACACGGAATGTCTGATTATTTATTATATGCAAAAGGCTTTTCTTTTTATTTTGATGGAGAATTTTGAGGTCAAAAATCGAACTTGTGTTGTATGGGAACTAGCTACAAGCTCCCATTTGTGTTAATTAAAAGTTTTTTTTTTTTTTTTTACTTCCTTTTTACAAGAATAGTGTGAAAGTTGAAATGTTTTAACCATAATTACTAAGCCCTAACCTATGTTAGAACATTTTATTTAGGGGTTGAGTTCTAAGCAATGAAAATCTTATAGAGAAAACCGAACATTTTAATGTGGATGCACCGTGACTATTGATATGGAACACAATAATTTATGTCTTTTATATCAAAGAGCACAAATAAAAAACATGTCTAAATTCAAGTATTATAGTACTATTTTACTGGGAGACCCCATAAATAAAAGTGATTTATCTTTTAGATTATGATAAATTAAATTTATTTTTAATTTTTATGAACTAATCAGGATTAAACATCCAACTCCTTGTTATTGTATTCATGTAAACAAAATACGAGACTTCCTCCAACTTACTAGAGACAACTAGTATTAGAGAAAATGAATTGAGGATCTACCTCCTCATCTCACCCCACAACAAGTATATGGAGGCTTTTAATGGTTAGATTAAATACGGATAATTGACATCGTAGTCACTTTACATCTTTCAACATATACACTTATTAAACAGTTGAAATATATCTATATTTAATCATGTTATTTATAAATTTTATTGGGAAGAACTAACTTATATTACTGAGACATGAGATTGCAATTTAGCTAGCCTACACCATTTTTGTTATAGAATTTCTATCTCGAATTAAGGACCCCATTTATCTTCTGGTAAATATTCTTGGTAACAAAAACCAACGACGTCAAATAGTCTGTCGTTCATGCTAGCTCGCATCGCACTGGCGCCGAACACACGATTCTGCCTCGCGCTTTTGGGGTTTGGAAAAACAAAGAAGTCGATCAGAAACCGCTGGTTATGGTGGCGAGACGAAAAATGTTCAGAAGCTGAAATCCACAAATCGAGGAACACGAAGAAGCAGAGATTAACAGAGCAATGGGAGCAGTAACAGCACCAGCGCCATGGAAGCAGCTCCTTCTCAACGCAATGGAATCCAATTCCCACCTCAGGCACTCTTCCTACATTCAGCTTGTACGCCTCTCTCTCTCTCTCTAGTAATCAATCTTTTGGTTTGTTAAAGTTTGAATCTTTGATGGTTGATTGGGAATTGTAGGCAACGATTGGTTGTAATGGGAGACCTTCAAATCGTACTGTTGTTTTCAGGTGATGATCTCTCTCTCTCTCTCTCTCTCTCTCTCTCTCTAAAAGAAATTAAAGTTGATGACTTTGTTGGTACCCTCAGGGGATTTCAAGAGGATAGTGATAAGATTCAAATCAATACTGATGGTAGAAGTCGTAAGGTCATTCTTGTTCGACCCATTCTGTATTTGTGTTTAATTTACAGTTTTAATTTGTTGTTTTTAGCTCAGCTGATATGATGTGTGTGTTGATGAAATTGACATTCGTCATAATTTTTTTCAGATTGAGGAGCTTAAGCATTGCCCTTTTGCTGAGGTAATTTATCTTTGAGGTACATTTCCTGAGTTTGTTAAGAAACTATCTGCTTTGTATCTATTTGCACTAGAATTAAAGGTTCTTTTAGAGTTTGATGATAATAGTTTTCTGCCCCCTTTTTATTCTTTTGTTCTTAGACTTAATTTTCCATGTTCTAGATATGTTGGTACTTTACTGACTCTTGGGAGCAATTTCGGATCAATGGAACAGTTGATATTATTGATGGATCAAATCCCGACCCCATAAAACTTCAGGTGAGGTCAGGACCCTTTCTATAATAGAGGGAAAGGAAAATGCATGTATTATAATCTGAATTCATACTTTAAATATGTTGGAATTTGTTGCAGCAACTGCTAAATCTAAATTTTGAGTCAGCAGATACTAGAATGTAAATGGTACTTCGGATTCGGAAGTCCTAGTTTCCATGTTCGATTGTATGTTTGAGATAAGTTTCTGGATGGAATGGTAATTATGACCAAAATGTTGTTGAAGGAATCAAAGATCATGACTGGAAAAAGGCTTTAACAGTTCGAAATTGATAATTCTTTTGATACTCGGTTGACAAATAGATAGTATCAGGGGTAGATTTTAGCAGTTCTAAATTGCCATTGCATAGACTCGGTGTTAAACATAAATTTTCTAAATTCAGTTGTCTATGGATAGAAACTTCTAAATCCAGTTTGAAACACACAACATAATCTTCTCTCCCAACAAAGGAAAGAAGATATAATCAAGGGCCTACCTTATTGCTAACATGATGCATTGGTGTTTGCTTATAAGATTTCCACTGGACTTTGGATAATGATTTATCATGAAACTTCTAGAGAGGGACATGTTCTAGGCCAAAGACAGTAAAATTGGGCTAAGCGTGGTGCTGGAGTGATGATTTTTGGCCACATTGTTGACCCTTGCATTGCAAAGATGAACAATGTTTGTCAAAAAGAGATGTCACAGTTGAACATGTTCCTGAGATGCGGGGATGGAAGGTGTATATATATTAGAAGATTGAGTGCTGTTGGAGATCAGATAGTTTGGAAACATAATTAATTAAATATTTAACGAATTGAAGTAACCTTGCCATGATCTTTGACCTCAAGTGGATGTTTAAAAAATGTAATACAGCATCTATTTTGCTATTATTCATGCTGTAATGTTCTCCTCTCAAATTGCCTGCTGCAGCAAAGGGAGAAATCGTGGGCTTCCAGTTCTCTGAAATCAAGACTGCAGTATTTGGGGCCCCAGCCAGGTCTTCCCAATCTAAGTGAAGAACCACCCAAGGACGTCTCCATAGATCCTTCTACAGGCCCGGTTGGTGCATTTTGTGTTCTTGTTCTAGACCCGCAACAGGTTTGCTTCTCTAGTCTTACATTCATGATTCATCTCACAATGTGTTTAATTTCCCTGCTTAATTTTCTTGAGTTTTATCATGTTCACAGGTTGATTACTTGAACCTGAAGAGTAACCAGAGGCTAACGTTTGCATCCACTGGAAGTCCCACTGAAGAGAAGTGCTGGACTTCAGAAAGTGTTAACCCCTAAACTTCTGCTCTAGGGTTTAACCAGAGGCGAACATGAAACATGTCGTTGTTTACTGATGATTTATTCTGTCAAGTCGACAATATAAAAAGGAAGATATATTTGTATATTGATGATTGTATGAAGTTAATCTTTAATAATTAATTACATTGCAACTTAGATTCCTGCTTGGCTGCTCGTACAACTAGAAGCTTACCTCTAACCTGAAGAAAGAAGTTGCCAACAAAACTAGTGAATACATTTGACCCGTTTGTTTGGCTGCTGTGATACTTGTATCACATTAAAAAGATCTCTTAAAAAAAAGAGCCTAAATGAAGTGCATGGAGCAATTATCTCATGTATTGGGTAAGAATATTTGCAGGTTTATGACAAGAAAAACATTTGCTTACCAAGACTGAGGAAGAATTGAGTCCGGAAGTTAGGAACACGAGGAGAATCCAAACAAATGAAGAAAATTAAAAATTGCCTTTCTATTTAATTTAATTTTTTTTTAAAAATCCCCTTTTTAATTTGATTATGCTCTCGTTTACAACCCCACCCCAATTTCAAGTTTTAAACAAAGAAATGGACCCAAAAAAATCCTCGATTGGAAACGAAAGGTTACAACTTAACTTACAACGATCTTTCTATGTCAGCTATCAAAATCCAGAGGCATTCTAGCACTGAGGCAAGTCTGCAGGAGGGTGAGGAAGGATCTCAAGGTCTCCTTTTCCGTTCTTCACAACAAGCACTGTGCCTAACCCCCAAGACTGGTGTATGTCGAGGTGACAATGCATAAACCAAACCCCTGCAATTAATAAAAAAATGTCATTGGTGATGCCATTTTCTCCTGTGCGTTAGTCGTGTGCGGACGTGTGATGCTAGCACATCTGTTCTCCGAACAGGTCAACGAATATGATGGCTTCACGTGCCCACACGCAACTGACAATAGCAGTAACCATTAGTATTAATATAGAAATACAACACTTACCAGGATTGTCAGCAACAAAACGTATAGCAGCCCATCCACCCACAGGGACTCCAATTGTGTTCATGTAAGGTGGATCCTCCAAGTTGAAGTTTGCAGTTTTCGGGTTGTAGTTCCCAGTGCCATACCCAACAACATAGAAGCTATAGCCATGAAGATGAATTGGGTGGTTCTCAGTTGTGACTGTTCCAGTGTCCTGCATGATGAGTTGCACTCTAGCACCATATTCAAGGACCAAGGCTTTAGTCCCATTCAATGCCTGTGTATTGTTAGGAGCATTATTAGGCGCCCCATTGACAAAGTCATAGAACTTAAGGGGTACCCCAGGGAAGTCCTCTGTGAAAGAGCCATTAATCTTCTTATAATAAGCTTCCAAAAGTGAAATTTTTGGCTTAACAAAACTTATATTGTTCATTGATGCTGCCATAACCCCATTATTAAGGCCTTGGCAATTTTGTTTTGGTGTCTTGGAGTGACACTTTTGAACATTCAATCCAATGGTGACAAAAAGGTCAGTGTCAATCTGTCTTGAAACATTAACAGGTTTTAGGCTCCTTAATCCATCCATGACCGTCTTAACGGCTAGATTATCGTTGAAGCAGGGCAGTTTAGCAGGTAAAGATAGGCTATTAGGGACAGCACCCGAGTATTGGAAATAAGCAATGGATGAAATGTTTTGGAATTTGACACCCTTGGCTGACATGTACGGTCCCATGGCCATGGAGTATTTTCCTGGAGACTGATCAGCTGTGACTAAGACACCCATGGTCTGGCCTGGTCCAAGCATCACACGGTCTGTGGTGAATGGCTTTGTATACTCTGCATCGGCTTCCACAATTGTCAATTTGTGATTAGCAATGGCAAAGAAGTTCTCCATGTTTAAGCCTGCATGTATTAGCCTTAGCAAGTATGTCTTCCCTGAGACCACATCAATCTGATACACATCTGAAACAATCACAACATCACATAGGAAGCAAGCAAAACAATTAATGACAAAAGCAGCCAGACTAATGAACCATCTGTACTACATTTATTAATCACATTGTTGGCCATTAAAAAGTTTCACGTCTAGGAGAAATGTGGTAAATATTGTACATATAACATTGTTTTAGATTTTCTTTATTACCATTGTTGGAGCAGTTGTAGTTTGGCCCTGGATGGCCATTGATTGTATAGGCGTTTGTTGGTGTAGGAGGTCCTCCACTTGCTGCAGTGGCTCTTTCAAGTTGTACAACATCCTGCAGCCAATACTCCCCTAATACAATTGTCTAAGTAATCAAAATTAATCCAAACTTCCATAACATAATTATTTGTAGACATCACTCAGAACCCAACAATTACTTTTCAAAAGATTATCACTTCCCCAGATGAAAATCATATATATATATGTGTGTGTGTGTGTGTGTGTGTGTTAAGTACCTAGTATTAAGGTGTGCTCTTCATAAGGGGCTTTGAATGGGTAAGGAACCCCAGCTTTTGGATACACAATAAGGGCACCATAAACAGTTGCCCTTAGCCAGGAAACATGAGCATGCCAAAAGAAGGTGCCTTTCTGCTTCACCATTGTAAATTCATATGTAAAACTCTGGCCAGCTTGAATTGGACATTGGGTTATGTATGAAGGTCCATCAAACCAGCATGATAGCTTTTGTCTGACACCATGCCTTGATTTGAAAAATAAGAAGAAAAGAAATAATTAGTAAGAAAATAAGCAATCAAGTTATGAACAAATATATAAGCTCATTGGTTTACCAGTGAATTGTGATATTGAAAGGTGTCTCATTAGTTACATTGACAATGATTCTATCATCTTCTTGAGCATAAACAGATGGCCCTGGGAACTTCCCATTGATGGTCACCATGTCCTTGGTGCTGCACAGTTTGGTAACTCTTTTGGTTTGTACCTAAAAATTGGCATCAAATTGACCTTCATTAACCAGAAAAATCAGGAGAAATCAATAGAGAAATAAAAACACATAAAAGAAGTATGTTAAAAGAGACCTTGAAATCATAGAACCTGGTTGATCCTCCACTAGGCCATTGTGCCATAACATGCACATTGTAATTGTAACCATAGATGAACAAAAAGCTTAGAACTATTGTAAATGAGGTGTGCAAGTTTGCCATTTACACAGACACTCACTCGCACACAGAGTCTGAACTTGGTGGCTAGATGGGGGTGGTGGAAGGGGTGCTTAATAGAGTGAATCCAAGAAACCCTTTTTTTTCTTTTTCTTTTTTTTTCTCTCCCTGTTTTCTGCTTTTTTCCTTTTTTTTTGTAATACATATTTTTTGATTGGAAGAGAAAGCAAAAAAGAAGAAGGAAAAAGCAGGGTTCTTGTAGGTGTATCATGTTTGTCAGCTTTCATGATACCTCTAACATGCATTGGTGATAATAAGTTGTTGGGAGTGTGTGATTATTCAATGTGACCCAATGTGGGGAATGGTTTAAACCTCTTTTTTTCTCAACCCAAAAGAGATTTTACTTTTCTTTTCTCTCAATAGCTTCTTTGTCATGAAATCATGTCAATTGACTGAGAAAAATAGACACACCTGCTACTGGCTAGATACCAATACCTGAACAGCTCCCCTGCCCTGTTCTCTGGGTTTAGAATCCATCATTTCACTCCATCAGAAACTTTCTTAATTTCTCTCTGAATGATCTTTTGAACTCTCCAATTGTAACTTGTAAAAGTTCATGTGCTTTAGGGAAAGCTTTCAAACAAAGGGTTCAGCTGGCTCTGCCTCTACATGCTTTAATTCAGTACTTTGATTCATGGCATTGCAGCTAGTATTGCTCACAGTAAAAATATACAGCTACCATTTCTAATGGTAGCGTCAGTAATTTGTGTATTTTATGTATCTGTGAACTTAGTGTATGAGACATTAGGCAAATAGAGTAAAAAAGGTGAGCAATGGATGGGATTGTTTGCTGTGCTTTTGATAGACAGGCTCTTCTACTCGATCATAAGCATAGTGGCTGCACGCCTTCACACCCCAACCCCACCTTTGTTAGAAACTTGAAGACACTAAGGCAAAGATTTTATTCCCAAAGCTTTATGGATATATTAACTTTTGGGATCATTATTTTATTTCTGGTACGTTTTTCAAACATAGGGTATGGATCTTCATCAGATTGCAAACTAGCCGTTTTGGATTTTCATTACAATGTGGCTTGTGTTTTGCTCTTTCATATCAGATTGTAAACTTCATGGATCGAGAGCTAGCTCTTCTCAATGTCGGAAGAGGTCTCAACTTCGATTATACTAAATTATAACTCAACATTTTACCATTTATGATTTTGATTAAATATCATTTGGTGGGACATATTCCCATGTTGTAATTACTATATCATATGCAGGGGATTTAATTACTAGAGTTTAGCATAATGAGTTACTTTCTAACATTGTTGTAAAAGAATGTTAAAATCGATCATTGCGCATGTAATTGGATCATTACCAAAATTTAGAATTTGCACCATATTGATTAAACAAACAAATGTATGTCAATGAGGTCTAGCTTAGTGGAAACGGACATTGACTTGCACCTAATAGTCTCATGTTAGAACTGCCATGACACATTGGTAGTGTGTGTGTGTGTGTGTGTGTGTGTGTGAATACCCTCTTTCTTTATAGTTTAGAGATTTAAAAAAAAAAAACATTGCATTTAACCCATGTCAATATTTGTTGGTCAAGGGTACAAACCACATCTCTATAGATTTGAAGATTTTAGCATATCATGTTCTAGCCTCATAATTGGAGATCCTTTAATTTTTTTTCTATTGTCAAATTTTAGGACCACCCTCTATATTAATCTCCTAAACGAATCTTTCCCAACTCAAATTAGTATTTGCCCGTACTGAATCAATAGTTGAAAGGGATTGTGTTCTGTAGAAGCTGCAGATGAACAAAAAAGGGATATTGAGAAAAACAGAAAATAAATAAATAATTTTTTTTTAAATAAAATAAACAAACGACAAAAATTGAGCAAACCATAATTGTGTCCAATGCATGCCACGATAGCTTCAAACCTACGCAGCATCACTTGGGGTGATGGTGCCAGGTTTCATGTAGTAACTCGAGCATGCACGTTTCTATTGCCTTCCTTTCCATATCCCATATTTCAGCTTCTCACATAATTCAAAATCACAAATCTTCTACATAAGTTTGCACAGAGAAGAAGAATCTCCAACTCTTCTGGGTGGCTTCAAAAATCATGTAATTAATAGACTGAAACTAAAAGCTATTAATTAAACTGAGTTTAGCAGGCCTAATCCCATATCAAAAGCATAAAAAGTGATATAAGTCATCAGTGAGCTGTTTCCCATAAACTAGCAAGAAGAGATGCATTAACTAAGCCCAGGAGTTACAAACACTTGGCTTAACTGGTTGGGTAGACAGCCTCGCAGAAACTCCTCTCCTCCATAGAAATGCCAGTGCTGATGAACTGGTTGAATCCAGAAAATTGGTTTCTGGCTCCTTGCGGAACTCCCCAGGGAAGCCACATGCTCCAAGCCTCAGACTTGCAACAAATTTACAGGAACATTCTGCACTGAAAGACAAAAATTTGGAACCAACTTTCTGTAACCGCCTCACTATCCACTTCTAGAGAGAGAGAGAGAGAGAGAGAGAGAGAGAGAGAGAAGCGTTTTATTATCAGTAAAGTAAGAACAATCTCCAAAGGAGTTTAAGTGTTTTTTGATAGTTCTATCATCTTTTGTGGAGGTAACCAGAGGGGAGAAACTCACAGGGATGGGGTGCCTGTCTTTTTATTCGTGGACAGGATGCAAGGCTCCGGTTCCAAGAGGTAGAGTCTTGAAGGAGCAGCGAGCGAGGCTGTATATAATCCATCGTTGCATCTTGATGCTGATTTGCTGGAGAGACGAAGATAAGTGATTCGAATTTTGGACTGAGCAAATTTTAATGAATGTATTTCATTTTGTTGCCTTTGAGCTACCTGCAAATAAGTTTATGATGCGTTGCCTTTGAGCTACCTGCAAATAAGTCTATGATGCAAAGTAAAGTAGTTGATGAGCTGGATGCAAATTTTACCCATCCATGCTTTACAAAAGTGCCATGATGTGGAGATTCTGCATATCCATGCTGCTTAATTTTTCTTTCCCCTGTTCTTCTTTCAATGTTCTTTGCGAATGGTTCTTTCTTGACAATATGATGGAAACGTAATTATCCCTAACCAAACATGCCAGCTTCTAATGCAGCATCTTTTTTTTCAACCAGACCATAAAATCATGCTTCTGAGAGCACCGATTTTGCAGACAACTTGACACAGGTGGACTTCCTTATATGATTGTTTTGGTACTCCTGAGATCTGATTCCCTTCCTATTTATGTTTTGGATGTTGATGTTTAGCAGGATTTGTTGTTCAATGATATCTGATTTGATTGGTTTGGGAACAGAGTAAATTCTTACTGTATCTGGTAATATTTTTATTTGAGTACCAAAGTGAAATTGTGAAGACTAAAATGTGTAAGAAAAACAGATCAAATACTACTAAAGGTATCTCTCACAAAGATTTCAATGTGGCTTCTAAGGAAACAATATGACAACATTCAAAAAGTTTAAACAGGTTTGTCGTACATTGCGGTGAAGATCTTGCGTTAACGGAAAAGTGAAGACCACTGATGCAGTATCTTCTAGTTACAGAAGCAGACACCATATCAGACTGGTAATTCTAATCGACAATCAATTTTGTCGTATGTTGTGACACATCACACATCACACATCACACATCATTACTTTGGAAAAAAAACTTTGAATTTCGATACATATGATGCATCCTTATAATATGTCCTTACATAGGTTGGGGGAAAAGAAGAAAGGAAGAAAGAAAGAATTAAAGAGCCATTTATCTGTCAGTAATGTTGCACATTCAACAACATGGAAAAGTGCTCTCCTCTGGTCTTCTAGTCTCTAAATGCTAGCTAATCAACTATAGTCTTCAAAATGAACAAGACCTAAACACTGATCACCCAAAGGAAGTACACACTACCCTAATATATATTCCCTTTCATAAAATGAGAGCAGCATCCAACCACTCACAAAGAGTGTCAATTACAATGCACATATATTATATACATCCATGAGATGTTTAGCTTGTGATGCAAATGCTTGGTTTAAATGACCAGAAACATAAGAAACCACTAAGACAAATGCCAAAACTTCCCAAGGTCCAAGCTAGACGATAGTGCTTTGACAAACTCAGAAGCAACCAATTATAACACAAAGGAAATTCAGTATGATTTGTATCAATTCAAACAATGAAAAAACACAAATTCTTCATCCAAATGCAGGTGACCGGTAAGATTTTCTTTCCTTTCTACATGCCTAGAGTATACCAAGTAGCAGGGTAACTCCAAACACCAGAGGCATCAAGAAGCATTAAACAAGTGAGTACACTATGGAACAAAATCCACCGACTGCTGTGTGAGTGAAAGTGAGTTGTCAATCCCATTTTCAAGCTAAAGTGACGTAAACCAATACCAGGACTTGGACAATTGGCATTGACTGCACGAGATTGGTTCTTGCCTAGTCTCACCAAACTATACGTTACAGCAAAACCATAACTGAAATTTAGCATCAAAAGAAAAAGAAGAAAGAAAGAAAAAACTGATTTTAGCAGAAATGTAGCATCCAATGACTCTGCATATGATCAAATTATCAAAAAGAGTTTCAGAAATTTCATGAGCACTTTAAAACTACAATTAAAGTATAACAAGAAATGTTGGAGCACTACATCTACATGCATAAGGTAGTTGTACTTGTACGCTACGCAGTGAAGGTTGTACGTTGACACGAAAGCAAAATTTCCCCTTTTTCGAACTCTATCAACAGAATTTACAAAATTCCCAATTCATTTCACAATCAAAAAGTGGCCTACGAAATCCAATTACAATTTCAACGCGCATGGACACAAATTACAGATACAAACCAAGACCATACAATACACAAGCTAAACATAAAGCTAAAAAGCAGTGAAATTTCTATCTTCTTCTTGAGTTGAGTTGAGTGTATGGTAAAATCACCGTGAGCGGAGGCTGGGTGTGGACTGCAGCAACCAATCAAGCTGAAACGCCGTTGTTGAGGTGGTGGGTGGCGGCGGCGGCGGGC